TTGAAAACAACAGATTCACATTTCTTTTTTTTGCCCATTTTTGTGAATATTTGGCGCTTTTTTTGGAGGTGGGGTCGTTTAACAGAAATCTTGTCCAACGCGATGGCGCGCTTTCGGGGGCATTCCGCAGGTAACATCTCACAATCAGAAACCAGCCCTCAACAATGCTAGCAAACTTGTGGGATCCAGGTAGCGATTTAAAAACGTATGCCAGATGTTTTTTGGAAGGCCAGCAGGACCTGTAGAAAGGAAAAAGGTTCACACTTTCCGCTCATTATCCTAAAGCTCCTTCCGTTTCAAATTTGAGCGTATGATTAATCTGAGCGCTTACTCTTTACTGAATGAGACTTGTTGCGTTCTGACGGCGCGCCGGCGTGTAAACATAGACCTGTAGTAACATCCCAAAACTCGATCAACACTCTCCGCGCCCTCCTCCTTCTCTCTCAACAACAGTTCTCAATGCCTCATTAATAGCTCCAATCAAATTTTGCCTCCAGCAAGAGAGGTGTGGTACGCGTTACCAGGACCATAATACGGGGGAAAGGAAAGAATCGGCATCGCAAAATACTTCCCCCCTCTTTCCCAAACACGTTACCTTCGAAACGATGTTATAATATCTGCGAACAAGCGTATAGATTGAGCCGTTCGAGATTGTTATAATTTACCAGTCGGCTCGGCGTCTTCTGGTCGCCTATGCACTATCCCATACCATGCAGATCAACGGCAAAAGAGTTTCTGCCAAGCATATATGAAGGCCTAAACATTATGGAAAGATTGGCGAAGAGTGCCAGCGCCTGCAAGAACGACAATGAAATCTGCCTGAGAATGTGAGCCTATCCCAACTCGTTCCTCTCGCTGCGCGTTCTGATCAAGACACATAAGCTCAGTCTAGCGGAATCGCGCTTGGTAAACCCTGGCGGTTTCTAGGTGAGACCTGTAAGGAGCAAGGACATTGGGGGTGGAACAACAGAGAAACTCAGTGTCCTCGACATTATCCCAGTGAACAATTGCCTCCAACATAACCTCGTCATCGGTCGTTATTAGGGCTTCGTCAGACGGCCGCAGCGCGTGCGTGGCAACTATTGCTTTCCAGGCTAATTTAGTCATTTTTTCCACCTTGTGAAGATAAGGAGCTGCTAATCTGGGAAAAAGTAGCCAAAACAGTGAAAAGTTGGAAAAAATGACTAAATTAGCCTGGAAAAAGCAAATAGTTCCTGGCACGCGCTGCGGCCCGTTGACCCATCCTGCCCCTAATCAAATTGCCGACCGCATGACGAGGTACTAGGATCGGCCCTGCCGGAATTACCAATCTAACTGGGCGCCGCTCTTTAGATTAAGGCCCCTGACGGTAATACTGAAGTTAGCTTCTTGTTCGTACATCATTATTTGAAGATTTTGGTAAAGTCCGCACGACCCCGCCCCCTCCTAGTTCCCTGCTCATCGAGCTGTCGAGTACGAGTGGCGCGGCGAAGCAGGCGTTACATACACGTATGCATACGAAAAAAAAACACGAAAATATTGACCACTCTATTAGTATTATCGCCTCTCCCCTCCAGTCAAAATCGCCGCTATCATCTGAGCGACCTCCATCACAATAATGGATGTTGTTTTTGGAGGTGTCAAGCGGGTGAGTGAACACGGTCAGTGCTACACTTTCACAATTTCTAGCCACGCAGCAAACCTTCCCTCTCTCACAAGCTAGATCTACGCTGTCACCGAAATTTGTTCCTCCCCAAATGTTGCTATCTGGCTAGAAAGGCCAACAGGGTACAGCATCGTGAAGTTTGGTGTCAGTCAACAACCCCCCCCCCTCCCGCATAAAAGAGAACGGCATAGATCGCCTGCCGTCGAAGGGGGGGCGCTCTTGGCATCTGCTACCCTATCGGTCGGGTCGGGAGTCTCATCCTGCTACGAAAAACCGGAAAAATCTTCCCACCGCGGCAAATTTCTCTGAAAGGGGCATACGACCCCCTCTCCCAAAAACGGCCGAAACGGAGGAAGAATCAACCATCGGACCCCCCCCCCAATACGTCAGCTCCGAAACGGTATTATGACAGCGTTCTAAGAATGGGTTGCGAAATCTAATAGGATGTGTTACGAATCAATTACATGCTTTCGTTTGACTACAGATTACATATTCGGAACATTTAGAACAGAGACTGCTCATTTCAGCAATCGTTTCGTCCATTGTTCGACTTAAATTTTTTCGTAGCGGTAATATTATCGCGATTATTTGGACTTCATGAAAACATGTCCGTTGTTATTGTGAACAACGAGTGAGCTAACGACTGTTGCCACGTCAAAGCCGTGTTCGGATCGACCTTCCAAACCCCATGAATGAAAACATCTGCTTGCATGGACAGAAATCATTTTCCGTTAGAAAAATACAGAACCATTGTCCCTTGTCTTCTGAACTACCGAATCGCCCGGGTAACTCTAGAGCCTTTTGAAAAGAGGAAATATTTGCGCTTTGTGCAGTGGTCTTCTGGTTTTGCAAAGATTGCGTGTGAAAAAAAGTTATTGTCGTTTGAATCGTAAAAACTCGTGTGCGATTTGCCGTTGACCCACCTGGAACCAATCGAAAATGTTTCTCAAGGATGGAAAGATTCAGATTACTAGTAGTAGGAAAAAAGCTTCGCATGTGAAATCAGTTATCAGCTTTTGAGAAATGGAAAGCTACAAGCTTTTGAGAAATGGAAAGCGGCCTGTGAAAGCGGTGTCCACACTGTTGCGTTTTCCTACTACTAGTAATCTAAATCTTTCCATCCTTGAGAAACATTTTCGATCGGTTCCAGGTGGGTCAACGGCAAATCAGAAGAAGCACTGCAGCTACTACCTTGAAACAATAGTGCTTCGGCACTATTTTGGGTTGGGATCCAACATGGTCGTGAGCGTTTGCAAATCGCTACGCACCTCATCCTTCTTATCAGAGCCTACGGTTCAGCCGCAAGGGAGTGGAGAGGGGAGGGGAGGGGGGAAGCGTGGCGGTGTTTTCATCTATCTCAGTGTACTGCAAGATTGACAATTCTGAAAAGAATGCGCTCTTTTCTGGCGAAATAGGTGGAATAGTCAATCCATGACGGCAGGATGTGAAAGTACGACGTTGATGGGGCAATGCACGTGAGCACTGATGAACGAGAGCATTGATCTCGCTGTATCGTAGTGTTGTGGTGTTAAGAGGCACGGTCCGCGATCAGGTGTAGAAGTTGAAAATATCTCGACGGGAGAAGTCGTGCGGTTCGGGACGAACAACCTTGTACTGATTTTGCGGCAAAAAATTGTAAGGGAGGAGCGCTATAGGGCAATATAGCGTCCCTTCAGTGACGTCCTCTTTCCACGTGAGTCCATCTAGGGAGGAGCGTAATAGGCGACAGAGCGTCCCCTTCAGTGATCTTGCCTCCCTCTTTCCTACGTCAGTCCAATCTCAACTCCGCTTCCAGGGCCCTCCTTCCAGTGAAGAACGAAGCGGCAGGACAAAAGAGCATGGAAATCCTCACCTGTACGGTCCCAGAGTTTTCATCGGGGAAGAAGATGCGGATGAGGGTGATGAAGTTTATTGGGCATGTACAAACTGGGATCGGAACGGGTTCTATCTAGAGCAGTTAGCATGTTTTTCCTGCTTTTTTTCCTACTATCGAGTTACTCAGAACCCTGCCGTTCACATGCGAGCCATCAATCACTATCTGTGATGGCGGATGATCGCGGGTCTTCGCCTTCAAGCATGAACACCACGGTTGAGATCCGACTAAGGCCATAACGTTTTTGATGTCTGCCTTGTTTAAGGTGTGCGTAGTAGTTGGCGGCGGTTATCCTGGTCCGTCTAGTGAGGCTAAGCCAGGCACAGACAGAGAGACAGTTGGAGTTTCACCTCATCCTCCGGACCTCCCCTATCAACTACCAGTCGCTCAAGGCTGTTGTTCAACTACTTGGACCACTTCTTGCGCAATGAACACCATGACCAGACCCAAATGGAAGCCGGCTTTACCATATTCGTCCGCTCGTGATCATTGGATTTCTGAGCTAAAACAATAAGCTGGGTTAAATCTTGTTGGAAGAATGTGCAGATTCGAATGTTTCTCCTTCAGACTAATAACCTTACGCAGAGCTGGGAAATCGCTTCGATTTGACTTTAAAAACCTGCGCTATTCTCCTTACAAGCTAATAGTTTTCACATACAGTGATTCGATGGTGCAATCAATGGAGAAATGTCTTGCTAGTATTGTGGACAAGGTAGAATTTGATTTGATTTGCTCCTTCAGATTTTGCAGCATCCATTAGACGATGTGTGCCATCACGTTTTTGTGGAGCTGGAGATGTGTTCCTCTTTTGGGAGGGTGCAGACATTGAATCCTCTAGAGTGTTTCGTCAGTTCCCCTAGTGCGATTCGCTGCCCTTATACCCTTTGACCGCACCCATGAAGCTGATCACCCAATATTGAGCGTCACCGTGCTGGCATTTTGTGCTGGGACTTTTTCGCTGTTCAACTCACCTACGTCAGTGACGACGACAGGCCAACTCGACTCTGCTTTTGCTTGAAGACAGCCCATCTCGCCATCTCCGAGCGCTCCTGCCATGGGCCAGATGAATGGATCAGAGTGCGTCAGGGGTATCGTTCGCATGTTCTCAGTAGTATGTAGGGTGTACAGGTCCCCCCCCCACCCCCAGCTCTACCTGCGCCTTCTTCTCTGTGTTTAATGACAACGAAACTGTTCCACGAACAGTGCTCCATGAATGTTCGATTACAGCAGTATCTCCAGGGAAAGCGAAGCAGCACCTTCTGCATATCGGGAAAATTGGGCTCAAAATGTAGTGACGATGCGAAACGTGGCTGTGTCACAGGACTTCGATTCAATATTACAGGGGAAATAATTTTTTTTATTATGCATCACCTGTCAGATTTATTAGGTCCACGTGTGTACTCTTGTTGTAGTTTTTACTGATAGGCTGCTAATAAAAGGACGCCAGATGTGCTCAGAGCGTCATCTTACATTCGGCGGACGATGATTCCTGCAAAATTAGTCGCTCTTGTAAGTTACGTTTTTGTACTTCAGTCGCTGTAATTATGTGTAACGTGAAGGAGATGAAGAATTCAGCCTTAGCCTAACGAGGGAAGTTGCTCCGGATGGGTGAAACCATCTGTGGACTTCTCCTACAGTAATCCCACCCTTGAACAAAAAGCCCTTCAAATGCCTCCTGACAGACAGATAGCCTAAATTTCGATTACATAGGACAAGAATATTCGCCAGTGATCAGTCGCGTTTCGGGGAGGCGGCACGCATTCTATTACCATTCAGAATGGTAGTGGCTTATGGTTAGTGACTGCGCTGTGGCCCATAAAGCGACTTGCGAGGGCCAACATTGAAATCACAGTCAGGAATTCTTATCTTCCCAGACGAATCTAGTGCCAGTCTATCGTGTCCGAAAAGGTGGAAGGCTTGATAGGCCTAGGCAGGAGTCGCGCCCGTTTTGAGCGTATTATTTGCTGCTGCACCCCTCCGCTTAGATCACTTAGAGATCTCCAAATTTGGCTGATCTGGCAAAAACTCATTTTCAGTGAGGACGTATAGGCGTTTCCGCTGCAGACGTTGGGGCGCGTCAAGTGGGCTGGGTGCGGCCTCAGCCCATTTCCTCCATTTTTTTTCGCTTGCCCGCTTCAGCAAGGTGGAGGAGTGCGACGCCGAGCGAAACGCAGCCCATCTGACATGCCAGAGCGCAGAGGGAACAACTGCAAGCTCTTTTCGTTTTCTGTTCAGATGGGCAGTCCTCATATAGTGCTTGGTTTTCTAAGCTGAAAACAAACATCTGCTGATCAATTCTGCTTATTTCCTTCACTCTAGTATTACACAATCGCCTTCTTCACATTACTTTAAGGTTGTGCTCTTGCTACCTGTATGCTCCAGCAACCTATTCAATTATGCTCCTACGATTATCACCCATTTCAGTGAGTCACTTGGTGAAACTTACGAATATTAAGCGAACATCATTTGCGGAGATCGTATTTGTTAAGGGAAACTTCCGAGCTGTCCGATGAGGGGCGACACTTCGATACAAATAATGAGGTCTCTGTTCTATAAAGCCCATAACGCATTCCGCCATAAGGTCGCAACTGGTCAGAAAGTGTCTGATTTAGAGTACGATCACTCTCCTCGACTAATGACAGGATCGGTGGGTCCTTCTTTCAGCATTTTAGAGGCAGACCCCAGCTCAACCAATTCAGCACGCCTTTCCTTCTGCAAGTAGTCCAGCCCACTGTCACTACCGTAAGTGAGCAGGATGACACAGCCGTTGACAAATCCAATTCTGACGCCCGTGTAGTTGAAGTGCCCCCGAATGTCCTGGTTACAGTTAACTCAGTTGTTTTTTTGATGAAGCGGCGAGCATAAGTCCTAATCGAGTGCCCTTTTTGACCGTGCTCGTGCTCGTGGAGCACACGCAGTCGAAAGCAAATGGCTCGAAGGTAGGACGGGTTGGGAGCGTTTCTCCTAATGATGCAATTGTTTTAGAGCAGTAGTTCGTAGGATAGTGTTTCCCTATCCCGATTCTGGACGAGGCGCATTCGAAGCTTATTTTTATTACGAGTTTGATTTCTGAGGGTTTTTCGTTGTATTTTCACTACTGAATGATATTTAGCTCACGGTGACGCGAAGAAACGATTAGTGAGCCTCTGACGGGAGGGTAGTGTTTTGTTGTTCTAAAACGAGCAGTATCGGAAACTCGTACAGTGTGGCTGCTGGAGGAACTCCTCATCAGCCACACTGTACGAGGGGGACTTAGACTATTCGCGATGATTTTTTTGGCTTCTTCCATCACTACAGAGTAACTTAGCGACCGTACACAGTAACATCACAGATGACTGCACTGTGAGCTCGGTGTAAGTTTGGCATGAACGTGGTTGAGAAAGTTAAAAAGTTTACACATACCTACAGACATACGATTGCGAATTGGAAGGATATGCGAGGGAATTCCTCGACCGAAGTGATTATCAGAGAACCGGACACGCTGTCAACCACAAAGAAGGGTAGCGACTCGCTTTCCATTGCTACTTTCCAAAAAAACTAGTTTTTTTATTTAGCATAGTTAATAATCGTGGCAATTGGATGTATGAATTGGCAGCTGTGGTGGACGAATGGACCAAAGAGTACGACTCAAGGACACGAGTAGGGTTCTATAGTACACCTGAGAGTTCTTCCATATGGATCCATCTAAACATCTGAACGTTCCAGCTTATGCATCCATATGCACCTTATATGGGATGTGCATATAAGCACTGGGACGGAAGTGACGGAAAGCTTCATTTCAAAGTAGTCTGCGTCTACAGGGATGATCGGTTTGTGTTCCTTCATGCAATCGAAGAGATAATTACTTTTGAACCCCTTTTTTCAGAAGCAGATCCGAGATACCCCAGAAGGGAGTGTCATGCAGCAAGAATCAAGACTGCGGAATATTTGCGTGGGATTACGAATGCCTTGAAAATCTTTGTTTTGCTCCAACCCGCACTGTTATTTATAGCTAAGCTCTCAAAGACATTCGAATAAATACAGGGGAACTTCCAGTGTGCTCTGTTATCACTTATTGCTTTCAACTCCACTTTTTAATTAGTGCGACGGAAGTGGGCAACGATTCTGTAGGGAAGTAGAGG